TATAGTTTGATGTTTCTACTTTTGAATCGTATTAGTTTTAGTAACAAATCGTCCGTTGCTATGGCGACACACGTGTACAAAATTCACTCCAAAATGGCCAATTGCCTCCGATAGTTGGAAAAGAAGCACGGTGACCCCCAATTTTTTTTCGTGAATTATTTTACTTGGAAGAAAAACTAACAATTAGCAAAATATAAAAAATTCTATAATAGCAAAAAAAAATTATCGGAAAAAATGTCATTTTTACATTTCAAAAATGTGGCATTATAGAATTTTTTTATATTTTGTCAATTGTTAGTTTTTCTTCCAAGTAAAATAATAGACGAAAAAAAATTGGGGGTCACCGTGCTTCTTTTCCAACTATCCGAGGCAATTGGTCATTTTGGAGTGCATTTTGTACACGTATGTCGCCATAGCAACGGACGATCTGTTACTAAAACTAATACGATTCAAAAGTAGAGACATCAAAATATATAAAAACCCGAGTATCTCTGGAATTAATCACAAAAATGCGTTGTTTGAACGAGTCAAAGTGATGAACAATTGGAATTCTTGAAAACTGTATCGAGCCACCTTAACTTGTTTTGAGCAGTTCTTTTTGACCGCCAGTGTATACACTTATTAACCGAATTTGAGGTCCGTACTAGAAAAATATCAGACGGAGGTCTTCACAGTACGGACCGAGCGATAGCGAGGTCCGAACATAAAAGACCGAGGTCTGATATTTTGATTATATGGGATACAGTATTTAGTTTATTTATTTATACAATGCGCTGCAGCATTCTTGCCGGCTCTTTCGCCAGCCAGTGGCCAAGCAATCACTAAAGTGGCTTCCAAAACTTTGTTTTTTACTCGTTAAATAAGAATGATACAATAATGTAAACAAAAATCAAAGATGAATAAATATAATATTCACATGTACCAATAATGCTCTTCTTCGTCCATTCTCCATCGATATTCTTCGTGTCAAATACACTGGCGGTCAAAAAGAACTGCTCAAATGTTGCTATTATCGCATATAACAGGAATCGTAACAATCAATCTTTTATTGTACACTAGCGGTCAAAAAGAAACGTTCAGATACGTACAAATTCATAAAAAAGAAGCGAATATAGGAGAGAGCTTCATAGGCATTTTGGATCATTCTCTTATTCCAAGCAATATTTCAATAATGTAATGCAACCTGCCACACTTCCAAGATATAGTCAAACAATGGTTTCAGGAAGAGGGAGGGACAGAAATGGATTGGACTGCACAGTCAAAAGGCCTTAACCCTATTGAACATCTGTGGGACAATATGAAAGGGATAGTGCAAGAAAGGAATTAATTCATAAAGCGTCCATGATTTATGCGTTGCTGTAAAGACTGTCCATAGGATGAATTTCTTTTGACCACTAAGATTACCACCTTAACAGAAAGTATGCCACGCCGGTGTAAGGCCATAATCAATAGCGAGTTTCCGAAAGCACAACGGCGACGGCGATGGCAACGCAAGAACGATATTTTAATAAAACTGCGCATGCGCCAGTCAGAGGAAACCCCAAATCGACGTTTTCGCTTCACGCGATCGACGTGAAATAAACAAACCTCACGTCGCAGCTAAAACGCGTGATCAAAGAGACAAAACTCATAAAACATGGTAGAAACAAAAACGGTATGCATGTGTTTATTTTGATCTGTGCTTACACCCCAACATCGTTTACACGAGAAAAAGTATTTTAGCAAGATTGCTTACCATTGAAAATTGTGGGACAGATAGGGCAAATCTAGGCATAATATCCAAATACCTGCAAGGATATGCAAATCTTTTGAGAAGAACCGACAAAGTCCAGTCAGGCCCGAAACTTTAAAACCATTGACGCATTTCATTTCCTCTGGGAATTGCAGAATTTCATAATGCGTGTATAAGTAATTTTTTAGGAAGCGAAACTTAGCTTTACCCTCGTCATTGCAAAGATTATCCAGGTCAAACTGTTCGTAGTCCCAATATGGCAAATCAAGATTTGTTGATCTGTTTAAATCCTAGAGCATTAAGAACTCTTCGTCGTCAATGTAACCTTCATCATGGGCATGCATGCAGTAATGCTATTCTATTTTCTCTAAAACTCATCTTTGTTTAAGTATGGAACCACAGAGTACAATAACATTTTATGACGTTTCGCGCCAAAATAAACATTTTACCGAATGAATACTACACGAAACGGCGACGGCAACGCCAACGCCATAAATGAAGTTGCCGTCGCCGTTGCCGTTGTGCTTTCGGAAACTCTCAAATTATAAGGCCAAAGGAGGGTGAACAAAATATTAATATTTCATATAGCTTAGCATGTAATCTAGTCTATATTTACTCGTATATATTGTTAGAGGGACAGTTACGTTCATTTGAAAGCATTTTAACTTGTTTTGAGCAGTTCTTTTTTACCGCCAGTGTATAAAAGTGCAAGCTTGTTTAAATTGTTCAAAAATATGAGAGTTGGACCGTTAGTACGGCAACGGTCTAATACTGGGAAATTCCAGACTGGCAAAGAACCAATCAGCGCACGCCATTTAGTCACAAGACCGCGTGCCATATAATAATATATTTCAATAGCTTCAGTGCAATTTCAGATAATCTTTGCTTTGCTATAGATGGCGATGGTTTTGATACAGATGAAAGCACTGAAGGCTTTAAAAAGAACTCGCCTGATGATTTTTCAGAAGGCAATGAGGGCTCATCAATATCTTCTGTAGAACTGATTGGTAGGTTGACAAAAAACACATTTAAGTATGTTGTCAGCAGATGAATTAATGTATGCATAATTTTTGATAATATAAAAGTTCGCATAATTAGTTTTATTTTACTTTGTTAGAGTTAGAGAAGCAAAAAGATGAGGAAATCAGAAAGTTACTTGTTGAGAAATCGCGATTAGTTGAAGAAATCAGGGTAAGCGACATTAATTTTGGACACGGTACCCCGTTTTTAGTGCAAACTTTTCTTTGAAAGTCAGTCATAGTGTAAACTTTCCGGTTGGTAGGTTGATTTATGCTTGTAGTAATTTTTTGTACATGATCAGTAATTTAAAGTTTTTATATTAGTTTAACTTGTTTTATTAATTAATTCTCTATATCTTTTTTGCTAAGTTCACAAAAATATCGAGGAATCTCGGCCGTTATACTCTAAATTTTGAAACATTGATTTTCCGTCGTGGGTTTTGTTTTTAACCCCCGGAACATCCGATTTTTTTCTTAAACGTCGCGTCTGCGCATGTAGTGGGCCTTGACCAATACTCATGATAAAGAGTTGTTTCAAACATTCTGGGCGCTAAAATCGAGTAATTTATTGAGAATCTACGCAATTTATAAACTTGTGTTGTGAAGTACGAGCACTCAATTGAACACAAAATTAATATAATTTGGAATATTGTAATATATACGGGAAATAAATTTTCTTTTTTTTTCTACAATCTGAGGCAGTACGAAACGCTCGAAATTTTTAAATTTAAAAAACGCCAGCGATGACAATGAATCGGACTAAATAGAATTTTTTGACGTTTTCTTGCCCTATGATATAATAATCTAATTATATATCTCACAACAACAGCAATAAGAATAGCGGTCAGTGCTAACATTACCGTTACACGAGTAAAAACGAGGTTTTGCACGTGATTGTCACACGGAAACAATAACACTTCGCACAATGCACAATGCACAATGACGCACTGTGATTGAAAAGGATATTTACTCAGAAGTTGAGTTAAGTTGAGTCGGTTGATCGGAGTAGAGCTGATGACTTAATGGCAACATAATATAGAAAAAGAAGCTAAACTCGATCATCGTTGTGTTTATTTACTCTCAAGCTGTTCCCCATACGACCCCGACGATCCCGCTTCGAGACATTCAAACATTGTTCGTTCTTTCTTTGCCATGCATCTTTGTTTGGTCCACAAAAAGAATAATACGCATCTCTTATTCAACTTAAATATAAGAATTAACGGGAAATCTATGGGAGGCATTACTATCATAAAATACGCAAGTTAAGATCAACATATATAAACTGCAACTCACAAGATATCATTTATTGTAAATCAAGAAAAATTGTCGACTGGACTCTGACTTTTGACCCCCACTGTATATTATTTCGATACCTGATATTCTGTATGCAGTACATAATTATTTATGCTATACGAAACGGGCATTTGGTGCAGTAATCAAACGTCCTTATAAAATAATAAAAAACCGACCCCTTTCGCCTTAGTTAAATAATCACGGTTGGAGCATGCAAATATTCATTACTGTGTCCTGTCCGGGCGGTCATAACTATAGATTTGGCCCAGCTACAACAGCAGCTTCAGCTCAATTGCCGTCGTGGCTGATAATTAAAACTCTCGGACGATGGTCTTCCGTCTGCTATGAACGCTACATCAAAACTCCACCCTGCACCCTGTCTGGGGTATCAGCCACCATGACAAATTTTAGGGGGAGGGTTCCTCATCTATGGGGAATACACATTTTGTGTATTTGTGGGGATATCCTTTGAAATGTCCTCTGGAATTAATTTGAGTAATTTCCTGTGTGATTAAAGGGTAATGTTTAAGCTAGTTCTTTATATTTTCACTGGCAGAAGTCAAAACCTGACTCATTTATTTGGGGACAAACGTCTGGTTGCTTAGGTATTAGAAGGCATGGAACTTTGCACTATCCTTGTATCCCTGGCTTAGTTTTTATTTATTTATAGGGAGACGATATTCAACCAAACGTTACACAATTGTAAGTATAGAATTCAATAAACCTTTATGCTTTTGTTTGTTCAATCTCTGGTGTACAGTAACAAGTACATGAAACTTAATTAAATTTCTTTAGTAATTTGGGTAAAGTTGACCAAGAACTCGCTTTATATTGAGCTAAATCCCCGACCAACTGGGGCATACAACCCGGTATAAAGTTATCTGAAAAATATAATCAAATTATAACTAAATATTATAAATCATGCAAGTACGTGTCGTTTTTATTCTTGTAGAAAAAATACCGCAGATCAACTTACTGAAGCCAATGGTACGTTAATGAAAAAAGACAGTTTTTCGGAGTTTTCTGGTACTTCTTTGAAAGGTTTGTTGCAAAAATGGTAAACGAAATTAAATAAAGTCTTGTCGAATCACCACATGCAATAATGGTGACCATTCACTCGACGCATTTCGACGTGCATTCTTTAATTAGTGCCATTAACTCGACCAACCTGCTTTGTGCGCTTAGTATTAAAAGCTTGTTTATCTGGTTAGTCTACTAACCAACAATTAATCGGCTATTCACCTGCATCCGAGAGTCGTCTCGTTGAGACCTTTGATTTTTACACATATAAGAATGCAAGCTTAGGGCAATCTGCGTGGTTTAATTGAAAATAATTTTCTAGTTAATTTGCCATTTTTGCCTCATCTCTAAGCAAATAAATTAAAGACGCATAATTGTGCAAACATGCATTTATCCTATTTAGATGGAAGCAAGCCAAGCCTTGTCGAAAAAAACTTTAGCCTCAGCGATGAAGTTACTACCATAAAACATCGCGAGAAAATTATGTTCCTGAAAGCTAAGGATTGCAATGAATTACGAGAGGTGATTAATATTATTCCTAAAAATCTACGAGGGATTTCGTTATTAGCCAACTATTTCATGTCATTCCTAAAACGAAAGAGCGTTCTTACCAAACGACTGCGCGCCCGCTGAACAGGATAGGGCTGAGCTAGGGCTCCCAGATAGAGTCTATATATGTATGTAGATGAGTTTTCCACATCAGACAATATTCCACAGCATTACCAACGATGCAGACCATCTTCGAACTCTATCTTTTCGAGGCTTACCCACCCTATATAGAAGCCGGCACAACTGGGGGTAGAGCATATACAAATGCTATTCCCGACTGATTTTTTTTCGTTCCTATATGATATGTAAACATGGATATATATAAATTAATACCCCCCCCCTCCATTAGTCGGTCGATCGGGCCATGCTTGCTGTGAAGAGCAGACCTAAACTCTCTTTCGAACGAATCTAATAAAACAGGCAACAATATGCATACAATACTTTGCCCTTTGAGGAAATACAACTCCTAATGTTGTTCCGTACAACTCATACTCGTGTTCAATTAATACAGGAATACAATTAATGCAGGAATCAATCAGCTTTAAGTCGCCAGAAAATCAGACTTTAAAGATAAAACGCAAAAATAAGCAATGTTTCAACCTTCCGCTAGCTTACGCCTGCACCAAATTGTCTGAAACGTTAATATCTTATAAAACATATTCTATAGCAAAGGCCAGTCATGTCAAACTGTATTTTCACTTATCCATTTTTGTGCGGAAGCCGTTCCTTAAATGACTGTTAACTTTTTGTACAGGAGGTGTTCACTCGGGTTTTTTCCTAATTTTATATACAATTTGTCTTCTCTTGAAATAGACAAAAATACCTCTGAAATCTTTCTCGAAGGACAAAGCACTAAGAATTGGAAAAGGATCGCTGGGCACGCACGTTTATGTTGGTCTGATGGAGGACGGGCGGGAAGTTGCCGTGAAAAAAATTATAAAAGAAACATGTGATCTCTTAGCCCAAAACGAATTGGAGATCTTTCGTCTAACTAAGGATATTAGATCACCATACATAGTAAACTACTGGTACTTTGACGCTGATGACTTTTATATGTACCTGGTAATCGACCTGTGTGAGGAAAGTTTGAATGACTATGTTGTTGAGACTTGTTCTCTTGAGTACTTACGGAAACATGGTGTCCGAATGATAGAAGAAATATTACTCGGGCTGCAAGTTCTTCACGAAAAGGGAATCCTGCATAGAGATCTTAAGCCATCAAATATTCTTGTTAGCGTTGATGGCCGTATGCAGTTGGCAGATTTTGGGATCAGTCGTGTGCTTAATGATGACGAAACAACAGCTCTAACAGAACCAAAAGGAACCGATGGTTGGATTCCACCTGAAGTAATTAAAGAAATGGATAACAAAGGCAGCAAGGGACGCTATAAAAGAAAATCGGATGTGCACGTTGCTGGAATGATTGCATTCTTTATTTTGACCAAAGGTGAACACCCGTTTGGCCCTCGACTAGAACGTATGTCAAATATTTCGAAAGGAGAACCTATTTCCTTGAATAAAGTTACGGCACCAAATGCTCAGCAATTTATTTCCGAGCTGATAAGTCATAATATTGAACACAGGCCGTATGTTGAGGATGCCTTGAAGCATTGTTTTTTTAAAGAACAAAGTGAATCAATTGTGCATGATAATTGAATAATTATAGGGAATAAGCAGAATTTAGAGAGCTAGATGTATGCTGAAGTAATTAACTCATACCAAGAGATAAGTAAATCATATAATAGGAGAAAATTACGTTGATGCTCTAAACTCTCTTGGTATTCCATCCTTAAATGTCCACCATGAATATTTTTGTGATAATCCATTCAAATCAGTGTCTGACACTCTGACTAATAATAATAATAATTAAGTAATAATAGTAATAATAATAAGTTTTTATTCATTTTATAAGAATACATATCAAAAGTTACAAGTACAAATATTACATTTAAATATATATACATATAATTATATGTATATACATATAATCTAAAGTATGATCTATTTACAAAGCTGTTTTTAAAGCGTTCAGTATTAATTTTGGGCAGTTGACTTGTTCTTTGCCGTAAGCGCAGTGACGAGTCCTTAACCTTAGGGAGAAGTAAATGTAGTGGGTGGCAGTCATTTACTCTAATTTTATGAAACAGTCATTTATCATACTGTTCCAGGAGTTCATAGATATTGAACAATTTTGAGATATCGTGCTTTCTAAAACATCTGTTCAAAAAACTCTGTATCACGTTCAACTCAGCGTTACAAGCTCCATAAATCGGGAGGCCATAGGTTAGCTTCGACAATACTACAGATTTAAAAAATAAATCAATGTCTTCCTGTTTGTATCCTTCTTTTCTCAAGCCTCGAATAACGTATAAGCATGTGTTGGCCTCATCCAGTTTGGCTTTAACATGACTCATGAACTTGCCATTGGACTGAAAAATTAGACCAAGGACTTTAACATGACTGTATTGTTTGATATTGTGCCTTACGGGATATTCAATAACACTACATTTCTTTCTTATAACAAGTTCTTTGCATTTAGTGGTATTACATTTCATTTCATTATCATTCGACCAGTTCAGAAATTGTGATAGTGCCATGTCCGAATTGTCTCCATCATCACTCACAGTTGCTAACAAGTTGGAATCATCAGCATATTTACTCATGGATACACCCTCAAATCCCTCAATTTCAAGATCGTTTAAAAAGATGCAAAAGAGATAAGGTCCACTAACACTTCCTTGTGTAGTCCCTTTATTTACTTCAATCCATTCACATATCGTTCCGTTGTGCACTACCCTTTGCTTCCGACCAGATAGGAAACTTATATACCAGAAAATGGTGCTTTACATTATCAAAGGCTTTCGAGAAGTCCATTGTGAAAAGTCGGACTGCTTTATTTCTAGGTTTATCCAAGGCACATAGAATATCATACTGCATTTTGAGAAGAGCATTCATGCAACTACCACCTGATCTATAGGCATGTTGATTCTCCCGCAAATACATTTCAAGGCCTTTTTTACAAAAAGCATCATAAACAACTCTTTCAAATGCGCGGGCGATTACCGGTGTGACATTTATTCCTCTGAAATCAGCGTCTTCAATTGGGACTTTCACTTTCGGTGTCCGGTTAATATTGGACTCCTTCCATAGGCTAGGCCAATGCTGCATTCTTAATGACCAATTCCATACGCTCTCGACTATTGGAGTTAAAATATTTGCATGATCCTTCCAAACCCAATAAGGTATACCATCTGGTCCTGTTTCTGTTCTCTTAATTTTTGATAGTGCGTTATATACCATAGATGTAGATAATTGTGGGGCTTGTTCATTTTCAGGTATGTCCATGGGTGTAGACTTGATGTAATTCTCATCATATGAAAAAGTTTACCAAAGTAATCATTCAAATTATGTATGAAGTCCTTTTCTAAATTAGGATTATTGGCATCCTTTCGATGTGTGAGCATGTCGATTTTTCTCCACCAGGCCCAAGATCCCTTACTTCCACTTTCCAGTGCCATACGGTTTTCCAGAATTACTTTACCAATCCGCTCTGTTAGGAGTGTTATAGAGTCACCCTCCACACCATGTGCTACCAATCTTGCTCGTTTCTTCAACAGTATCTTCACAAGTGGTGTCATCCACATCGGATCTCTAGAAGACACTCTAACAGTTTTAGTAGGAAAACATTGCTCCATCAGGTAACACAGGTCATATTGTAATCTCTTCACCATCGTATCCACATCGACGTTTGTCTTGATATGTTCCCAATTATAATCTAAGAACTTTTGCTGAAATGCAATTTTGCGATGTTCCCTGTAATCATGTGTCTTGTATGTAAACCTAACTGGTTTAAGTTTTATTCCTGCTGGGAGAACAACACCTTTATGATCAGTCTTTATTTGGGAAGTAATTGGATAACACTTATTGAATAAACTTTCATTGTTTGTCAGACAGTTATCTAGTATAGACTGACCCCTAGTAGGGAAATCAACCAAAACCTTAAGACCAGACATGATGAAAAGTTTATCTAGGTCCAAGTGATTCAGGTCACCGCCACAGACAATCAAGCCATTAGGATTTGCCTCTAAGAAAATATCCATAATTTCCGTCAAATAATCCATAAGATCCATCTCCAGATAGTTCACTCTTGGTGGATGGTAGAGCCCACGCACTAGCATGCAATGCCCTGATGGTAGTTCAGTTTGTAGGATAATGCACTCATATACCTCTCGGATTTAGTTGCCTTTTTCACCTTTAGGTTATTTCTCATATATATCGCTACATTTAGGTACTGCATAATACCCTGTCTTGTTCTCGGCAGCATTTAGCTTTCCAGATCGTTTAATCTTGATCAAATTTGCATAAGTATGCCCCTTCGCTTTAACAGGCAGAAACGGCCTTCGACCAATGATAACAGGAATTCTGCTTTCACCCATATTTCTTATTCGTCCACCACGACTCAACCAATAGATTTTATAAATTACTACTAGCTATACTGGTCAGACGTCACATGCGTTGATGTTGTTCCGATGTATTCAGAGAACGGGCTCCGCCATGTCTACTAAAAAAAGTTTAACTATAGAAGCGATTATAGAAACTATGGCTGAATCGATTCTTACCAAGTACAAGGAACGGATTAAAGCCGGAATATCCGGCTGAATTAAGATCTAACGTGAACGTTTTAGCAACCAAATGTAAGGACATTAAAACCTCGCAACATTGTTTGTCAAATGAATTTGATAATTTCAAAAAATACTGCGTGATAACAAGCGGCTAACCGCAGATCTCTTAAAGAAGATAAACAATTCTGAAAGACGGGGAGGTTTATTAATAATCCGTCTTAAAAAAAACAATGGATTTACATTTAAAGTATTCACAAATTGTACAGTATTTTTACATCGATTATATTTTAAACAGTCAATAAACATCCCCTAGGTATAAATGATTTTTTATGCCTATCAGTCTTTGATATTATTTTGTTAAAACCAGATTTGCTTCTAAGATTGTAATCATGATTCTATTTCTATTGGGAGGTTGGATCTGTGACATACTTGTAGATGAAAATGCTTTTCAGAGACCTTACGGCAAATATTATGAACATCAGTGTTCCATTTGAGATCATCTTGTTGCCATACCCCAGAAGTTTAAACGATTGGACTCTTTCAATTGTTTCCGTCCTACAACGAATACTAGGTGGTTCAGGGATATTATTTGAAAAGCATATCCAGATATCTTTAGTTTTCTTTGGATTTAGCTCTATTTTGTTGTTGTTCGCCCATTTTGTTATTTCATCAATCACTTCCTGCATATTGCTATTCGAGTCGAAAGTTACACATTCACATTGCGTGCAGTCGTCGGCATACTTATTTTTATACTGAGGGATATATGTCCAGGTACAGCATCTTCTAGGTCGTTTATAATCACATTGAACAGAACAGGTGAGATCACTGATCACTGTGGCACCCTCGCAGGCCATGGTGAGGGTGTTGATGGGATATTTTGCATTTTGACCTGTTGTGTCCTTTGTGTCAGAAAACTCCGGATCCAAATCCGGAAACTCTTGTTGATTTTGTGTTTTGGTGGTCGACCATGCATATCGAAAGCTTTCTTGAAAACGAAGAATAGTGTATGAAAACGAAGAACACCTTTCTGTTCGCTATTGTTTCCAGTTGCATTGAACCAATTTTGGGTGATTTTAATAAGAGCTGAGACTGTAGAGCGATTAGCTCTGAAAGCATGTTGGGTTTTATTTAATTGGAAATCGTTTGTATGTAGTTTTAGTTGCAGTCTCTCGAGAACCTTGTCCAGATGTGGTAGGACAGATATCTGTCGAAAATCGTTTGATATTTCCTCAGGTGGATTGACTTTAGGGACAGGACTTATGAAGGCATGTTTGTACGCTTTGGGATGTCCGTATTCTATCATGCTAGCTCTGAATATATCGTGAACCGCCACTGCCAATGATTCAGGGATTCCGTCTGATCTGGTTGCTCTCTTAAGGCCCTGTTACAAGGTGCAATTTTTCCTGCAACTTACAATGCAATTCTTCTTTTGAGAGATGTAAATTTGGCAACTACCAAACTTTCGTCTTTATTACACTCCATGGCGTTTCTTACACTTACATTTTTGAAGGCTCTTCACTAATTTACATCTCTTAAAAGTAGAATTCCGTTCCAAGGTGCAAGTTCCCCGTGTAACATGACATTTAGTATTTAAATGTGTGAGATCACTTTTGACTTGGCCTTGGTATTGGTGGGTTTTGGTCTTTCAAAAAATTTTCCACACTTCGGACGTAGAGTTAGGGTCTTTCCAAGGAGCTGCAAAAGCTTCCTGTAGTTTCTCCGACAGTTTTTGAAGTTTTTCCACAGCGAGAGCAGATAAGGTTGGTTGAAAGAATGGAGAAGGCAGAAGAATCTAACTATGCTCTCCGGGGACGCCGAGACTTTATTTAAATATCTGGAATTCGGACGTTACCTATCGATAATGCAAAGCAATTAACGGTTGAACATGGAAATTTAATGGGTGTTGAGATCACTCAAGATTATACTGATTTAAACAGCCCATCGACTATCCTCGACAAGAAAGTAAAGGAGAGATTCACTGTCAAATTGTGCATCGCGACAAGAAAGACGAGCTCTACCAGAAACGAAGCAAGCTTGCTGGAAAAAAATCGAAGGACCTGCCATCCATGGCTGATGCGCTTGGCAAAAGTAATCACAGAGCAGGAAGGTATATTCAAAAGCGAGTGTCTTACTTCTTATAGAAAAAAAATATTTGGCCGCGTGAACGAGTTTAAAAGAAATAATCAATAAAAATATCCGTGGACAGTCAATGGTAAAATATTAC